GATCCGCCGCCCTCTGATCTCTTCTTTCTGCAGCAATTGACCCATCAACACCCAAGCAAGACACCCAAGAAACCAACCCCACGGTTCACGAAGAACCCAACTCCGGCACAAGCGACTTTCACTTTGTCACTGCTCTTACAAACATTGGCCCAAGTGCTTCACAGTAGCGCCACGTCGCAATGGCACCGGGGGAACGAGCTACCTACAGTACACTGTAAATGAGCGGCAGGGGCTCGAAGGAGGGGAACTCAGATCACCTCCAGGAAGGGACAAGGCCCAGGTACAGGCGCTCAGGCGGTACTAGTACCTAGTCCAGTAAAAAACTGTTACCATATTGAGGGGCTGGTTCGTGATGGATGATGGCGCCGTTTGGCGTTGCAGATTCATGATGGGGTAAGTCATTCTCGTCCTCATCAGCTGAGGAAGAGACCGCCGCCAAAAGCCCGATTTGACGGGCAACGGCCAACGACGGGAGCTATCAAAGAAAGAAAGTCATCTCAAAATAGACATCCAACCTATCCGAGACCCGCAGCACCAATAACAACAACAAGGACGACGCCTGTCCGGGACATATAAGCTCGAGACGCCGCTGTCTTTCTGTTTTGGTGTGTTTTACAAAGGCCCAGAACGGAACCCAAGCGTCAATGTCTTGCAAAAGATATCAGATGCCCATCACTTCATCAATCACCCCAACTGCGAGGCTGACAACAGCAATCCCATTGGCTACGGCAGAATATCAATGTGCCATTGGGTCTGACTCTGGTGAGCCGGCCAATATTATTTCATTGGGTTCTTCTCCAAAGGGTTACACGGGCTTGACTTGTTCCTGGATTGGGCATGTCGTCTGAGTACTGTTTTACAAGACTTCAGATGATAGTCCTCTATGAAACCAACGGGTGGATGCGTCATGATAAACTTTGCGAACTTGGCGAGTATAGATCACTATTTGATATCCTCACCGCGCTTACTGACATTGACGATCCCAAGGCACTATATCTCCCATTCCGACAATATCAAGGTGACTGTACACTTTGCTGATCGTACACGCTGACTGCAAGATTGCAGATGCATTTCGTCAATCAAGGTTGCCGCGTACACGCTCGGGTTGATCAGGCTACGTGGGCACCCAACAGCTTGTCGTTGCTGGGAGATCGCCGTGATGGGATTGGCGATGAAATGCAGAACGGACGTGACCCTGACGGCGGCAGATGGCCCGCCAGCCCACCACTCCCACACCATCAATATCACACTTTCAAATGCAAAATATCGGGTGAGCATCCGGCCAAAAAGACGGGTAGGACAAAAGCGGGTAGAAATCTCTGACTCTGCTTCTCGCTGCATAGAAGCCCAGATGTCCGGCCCAATTGCGCCGTCTGCCCAATTTCACCTCTACTGCTTCTTCGGAAGAGCCATTGTGGAAATTGGGTACAAATAAAATCCTGCCGTAGCATTGCATTACAGTCGAGGAAGCAATGTCGAGGTTGCCGAAGCCGGGCGGCTGGCTCGTGAGGTCCGTGAGGGTACACTCTCGAAAGTAGCCGGGTATAACTACATAGCGAGGCTGGGCAAGCAGCCAAGAACCACCCAAGAGTCCCCGCATCCGAGCTCCCGAGCTAACAAGGCCCCGGTCCATCACGCCAACGCAACAAGTGGAACTTGGGAATTCGTTCGTTCGTCGTTCGTTCGGTCGGGGTTCGCTCGGTACCTGCCCTGAAGCCCGGGACTCAGGCACAAGGGGCCCGGCCCCATCGTCGTCCAGAGAGAGCGAATTCGAGCGTCGTTGTTCCTGACCGAAACCGACGAGAAGATGCCATCTCCCAAATCCCGTCGGTCATCCGCGGCCCCGTTTTCCCACTTCCCCCTTTTTTCCCATGTGCGACTCCGTCCACATTTGCATGACTTACAGAAAAGGTACATAAGTACGGACTCTTTAAACTCCGAAAAAGAGCCAGACTGGCCTTTACAAATGGACGGGAGCTCCTCCGTCCCTGAAAACTGCAAGAATGAGAAATGGGACGGGAATGGGGGATTCCGCGTTTGTGCAAGGCTGGGGGGGATGCCAAGTTTCCGGTAAATCAGGTACCGATTCAACAAGCTTCGGTGGGATTCTGGTGCTAGCGATCAATTGGGTACCTGAGTTCACTACCCCGCCAACAAACCGCTTCTTCCGTTCGCCGAGAACATGCAAAGAAGCAGACGACGGGGTTACCGAACGAGATCACTCAACCAACTTTGGAAAGTGTTCACAAGGTAGGCTTTTCATATTCTGTGTCTCTCACATCTTCAAGTCTCTTCACATCCATAGGTGACCGATCCCGCCGTGAAGCTACCTACTCCGGAAGAGGTGCTGGTGACGGGCGGGACTGTATGTACACAGTAAACCTCGGTGATCGGGCGGTCAACGGTCAGTGGAACTTCCGGCGCTGACTTGCCGCCCGGCGTCTCTCTTAGCCAGCCGAGCCAGCCTCCCGCCGCCGCCGCCGAATCCACTTTTCCTCCTTCCGATCGGTTGATGCTCGACAGGGGAAGCTGTTGCGAGTTTGCGACTTGCGAGGCTGGGAAATGCACCCCAGGTTTTGAGGCTCGCTTCACGGAACCACTGCACTCACACTCACAGGAACACACGACACAAGGGGCCGGGGGAGATTTGCAAATGCGTGCCACCAATCCACGAGTCCGGGGGGTTTTAGGTGAACCTAGCTGTCCTCCATACCGAAAGCGATCCAAGAGAGGTCAGGTGAAGAAGTTCCAAAAAGGGCGGTGTGACCAACCTTCCGTTTCGCGAACCACGGCCGCCAGCGAGAACCTGCCAGCGAGAACCTGCCAGCGAGAGAACAGTATGTAACTGATCCTTGTGTTTGTTGCACACGAACAGCCCAGTGGTCAATGGTCGTTCGATTGGACTATACCTAGAGTATTTGAGGGTCTAGATCTTCAACAAAAGATGGATATCCAAGTCAAAGTCAACAAATGCTTTGCGAATGCGAATTACTAACGCCACGTTCCGCCATGCCTACATACTGTCTGTCAGTGGATCACGAGACCGTTTGGGCCGAACTCTATTAGTATACACCGGAATAGGTTCGGTACCGCTCTTGGTCCAAGCCGCATACTTACCTTACCTGGAAAGCTTGGAGAGGGATGAGAACTATGGATAGGTAGATTGATATCTTAAATTCATTCACAGTGCCTGCCACATGAACCAGTCCAACCCACCAATCCTGTTCCCCTCTCTTATGAACATCACTCATATGCCAAACCGTATCATCCCTCCCGAAACGCCAGCGCCGCTCGTCTTACGAGTCGAAACTCTAAAGAGACAGAGTAGTGAATCAGAAAGAACAGAGAAAAAAAATAAGAGGCAAACAAACACGGAACAACCGTAACCAGCTCCTACTCCCCAATAATAAAGACCAATGACACAACAATGGAAAGCGGTAACGACATGATGCTACGCGCATATATCGCATCCTGTATATCCCCGTTTCCATGCCTCCTCTTCTGTATACTCCCAGGCTTGCGCACCTGACTCACATGGCCATCTCGGCCTGCAACTTTCTGAGCTCCTCCTCCTCGTCGTCCTCGACAACCGCCTTCTGTTTCCCCTTGACTAAAGACGGCGTCAGCGGATCATGGTCATAGTCATCATTTATGCATACGATATAGGGATACTCACGTGCGCCGGTTCCAGCTGCGGGAAGAGAGATCTTGTCGTGGACAGGGATCGATCCACCTGTCTCGTGTAGCTTTGAATCCACCTCCTCCTGCTGGAGCGCATTGAGCTCGTCCTCGAGCTCCTCCTCGTCGATCGGTTGCCCAATGTTGGCGCTGGTAATGGCTGTGGCAATCTCGTTGCTGAGGTCGTTCGCTTCTTGGAGTTTCGCCCTACGGTGCTGGTTAGTATCGAGACAATATTTGGTAGCGGGTCTGAAGTGGGATAAGTCAACACTAACATTTCCTCGTCGACCTTCTCGGGGGTAAGTTTGCCGTGAATCTTGCCCATAGCCTCACGTGCTGCCTGCATGGCGGCCAGGGTCTCCCGGTTGATGTTGGCAGACTCGATCGCGTTTATTTGCTGCTCGAGGGTGGTGATCTGACCCAGCGTGGTCTCGAGGGTGCTTTCGGCGACCTTTTTGCGTCGCAAGGCCTGCTTCGCAGCTGTTGGAGACAATCGCACGTTAGCTTTCTTATCGGCCAAAGAGTCATCAGGAAGCCAGTCAGGTGCGGGGCATCATACCAGTCTTGTTCGTGCTGACGTTCTTTCTTGCTATGGCATCCTGTTCGTCGATCTGGTTCTGTAGATGGCGCTCACGCTTCTGGAGCATGTCCAGTTGCGTTCGTAGGCCGAGAATGGCATTCTTGGGGCTATCTTTGCGTTTCTGCGCGGCTGAGCCCCCGCCAAACCAGCCCCAGATTCCGGACGACATGTTGTCTCTTGCTAGAGATGCGATAATAGGGACGGCGAGCGGTGTTTGTACAATAGGTGGACTAGGTCACGATGCTTGGGAGGTGGGATGTCGAGCAGAGGAATCACGGCCGAGGAACGGCGTCGGGCGTTTCGTAGGCGATGACGACTCTCCAAATGTTGGCGGGGCGCAACCAGGTTGATATCCCCCAACCAGAAATCACTTGGCCGCCTGGCGGATTGTCTTGACTTGGAGTCGCGGTTTACGGATCGGTATCAGGTTAAAGACGAAGGAAACAAGTGAAAGTGAGGTTAAAGTCGCAGCCTAAATGACGAACGCACTTGAGGTCACCTGGAATCGCCGTGGTCAATGACCATCGCACCTGGCACGGCTGGCACTTGAGGGCCAGGCGCCTTGAAGCGTTGCCTCCGGCAAGCCATCCTTGCACGTGTCCGAGGATCAGCCGCGCCTTGAGCGATAAGGAAATATCAGCACGTGACAGAGTCATGTTGCTTAGTCAGCTCCACTCTTCTTGTTAGTCGACCACTCCTGCTGGAGCTCGGACCTCACTCACTCGTGAAGTTGTGTGATTGATGGTAGTGCACTCTCGACCTTTCCTCCACAACTTCACCACCAACGACAGACAGTCCCAGCTTTACGACTGGTACAACGACATCCGGAAACCTAACAAACACCATCCCCTCATCAATGAAGGAGATCTACGGGATTTCATCAATTTCCTTCAATCTTCGATCGTTTTAGTGGTTGTCCTTCCCTCGACGACCATGTCCAATGGTCCGCTTCCATCTCAGCTATATCTGTTACCAGATTTAGCGTTGAAGAAGGAAGGTGATAAAGTTCGGTTTTTGGGTTGGTGAGCATACACTCTTCCCATTCCAAAGGTTTTAGTGCCTTATCTCGAGCTTCTCAATCTTCCTGGACAACTCTGGGAAATGAAGCACGGATCACATCATCGTGGGAGAATCATCACAACCTGCGTCTCCCCTTGGCCAGATATTCAAGTCTCGTCCATGCCACTTCTGCCATGATGTTGATGTCCTAAGAGCTGTCATCGATGAACACACTAACTAATCACAGGATACCAGCGTAACTTCTTACTCTTCAGTATCTGGTGTGTTGACGCTGCAGCATCACCATCAGGCCCAGGACTCTCGTTGCGTCTTCGCTTTGGTGGACGTAACTTTGGTTCTGCAGACGCTCAAATCTGACCAAATACGTGTCGGAGAGTGGGTGAACGTGATAGGGTATATCACTGCCGTGAACCCCTTACCCGCCAGGAAAGGCTCGACGGGAGAAAACGAAGTAATCCAGGCGCGGGTTCAGACGCAGGTTCGCATCCGCGCCCTTCTCATTTGGTCATCTGGACCACTTGACACTCAGCGATACAACGATTCCGTGAACGCACTCAAAAGTCGCTGCAGCATCACAGCTCCAAATCCGACCAGCAAAAACGGACCATGACAGTACTAGGGGCATGTTTTCTTGTCCTGGCCTTTCTGGAAACGAAGCATACGCTTACGCTTTATACCTTAAGGTACAGCGACAAAGAGTGTGGAAAACCATAGCTTTCTCCCAAAACCATATCGGGTTCTTGCCTTACTTACCATCTTCCGGATAGCATCCGTGCCCGATGTCAGGAGCAGCCAAGCGGATCTGTTCTAGCTTCCTTTGAAGTCTCACGACATTGTCCCAGAACGCCTCTTGAAGGCCCATTGCCGCGGCGCCTATCAGTCAGACTTCCGATCCATCCACCGGACCTTCACTATAGTACCTAGGAATGGCTTACCCATTATTGCCTTCTCTACGGACCTGCTCACGGCGCTACCCGAGTTTTGAGCCGAAACTACGCCAAGCTCGTCTTCAGATCAATGGGGGTCTTCTTCATTGCATTGACGATGCGCCTCTGCAGAGAAAATCGACCACTCCCATGCTGCAATTGGGTACACTGCAGGTTTCTTTCGGTGATAGATGCGGCGAATACACTCCATACTGGATGGAACCCAAACGTCGTTGTGCCTTGCTTCTCGAACTTTGTCATGCACAAAACGCACGACTTCAAAACCAGCAAATAGCCAGTCGGGTTATGCTCATACACTGTTCAGATTCCGAGGAGCATCATTCTCAATATGGAACCCAACACATGGATGCACTTATCCGCTGAGCATAGAAGATGCGATGTTCATTGGGTCAAAGTCACGCCAGATGGCACATTGTTGCCGGTCCATCGCCGGAGAACACCATCATCATCCACCATATATGCGATATAAGGCATGTGCTTGTTACGCCGCTAACATTGAACATTCTGGATTCTTATTTGTTGCCATTATGCCTTTGCCGGCTTTGGTCTAAACTCCAACACCTGAATGATGCTTCCGTCACTCATGGAATCCTCCTGCAATATTTCAATCAATCCGCTTGGCCTAGATACTTGGTCACATCATGTCCAGCAATCTGGTGCCCGCCCTGCTTTTGGAACAATCTGACATCGGATCTTGTCGAATTACCTGCTTTAATCACGGCGTCTCTCGTTGGACCAGCTTCGGTCATCACGTTGACTCCTCTGTTCACCCCACCTTCGATCGTCCCTTCGGTCGCCTCTCCTGTCATCTCGCCGGTCATCCCGTCGGTCGTCTCTTCTTCGCTTCGAGGGCTCCGTTCCGCCTGAGCTTGCCTGTGCTATCACAACGGGCTGATGTAGCGGCCTCTTGAGAGGTTTATCCGGGGTCCCGGTTGCTCGAGCCGCTGCTTGCTTTTCCCACATCTCTTTGGACTTGATGCAAATATCATCGATTTGCTCCTAAGTTTCCTATCAGCTTTGATCACGGCACGGACTGGGATTGAGATCTCCGGCAACTCACATCGGTTAGGCATGGCCCGGGTGTCGTGATCAGAAATCCGTCTTCTCCCTGGAGTCACCTCCGTCAGCCATAGCTAGGCTTAAGGATAGGCCGGTTCACACCTCTCGAGTAAAAGGTCTGACTGTTGCTTGAGGCCCCAGATAGTACTGGAGCTCTTGAGTGATGACCTTTTTGTGGATATCCAGGTGTGGGATCCAGTACTTGTTCATTGACGACATTTTCGGCTTCCGATATGGTTTAAGGGGACAATACCTCCTCGGTTGCTGATATTCGAGCTACAGAGCTGGGCAGAGGTTTCGTTATATATCTCTCGCACCGGAGCGCCAAAGACCTCAATCGGCTGACGATAGCCTATTTGCCATGTTCGCTGTCCAAGAGGGGCGTCCAGATCGGGTTACCAAGTATCTTGTTCATCGTTGGGCCTACACCGCTTGATTTCTTCTGGCCACTACAAAGGCACATAGTTCTGCATGTCCATGGTATGCTGCGTTGTGGTGCTCAAGCTTTGGTCAGTTTGAATGCTTGCTTTCTTACTGGTTCGTTTGATCAGAGGCCTCGTTCGCCTCACTTTCGAGCCTCATCTACCCTGTGCTTGAGCCACCAGAAACCTCCATTAACCTCACATTTCGAACGTTTAAGCTACTACCCTAAACCACGTTCTTGTCTCACTGAGGGCGAGCTGATGTCACACCTTCCAGTCAGGTTTCAGTTTCGCTGAGATTCTCTAGTATAAGAAGCTTTATCATTGGCTGCAACCTCCGGTAGCTTCCTTTGCGCAACGTCGAGTGACATCCAGGATCTGCAGCCCTATAGGCTGTCCGACGAACCATGGTTCCAGGCCGAACACCAGTTAAGGCATCTTCTCCAGCTTGGCTTTTACCCCTTATGCTTACCAGCTGAAAGCATGTCTTCCTCGTGATATTGCACGAGGTACACGTTCGATTCTTCGGATTCCACTGGTGTGGCAACCTGAGCCGAAAAAGACGACCGCTGACGCACAGCGACGTTGTTGGCTACTGTTCGACCCCATCTTCTTCGCAGCGGTAACTAGCGCGAACTTATCTTGCACATGCAGGCGATAGATGATCATCGTTTTGCCAGCCGACGTGGGTGGTAGTGGTTGCCCCAAAGACCGTTCTCGTCCCCAACTTTGTCGTACGACTTGCACTCGAGACGTCCACCGATCGTCACTGAACTCTTTTAAAAGGGGGTGTTGAAAGCTGGGTCGCGAAAGGGCATGCTCGAGCCCAACTTCTCGACGTGTTCTCTTCTGCGATGCTCTCGGCGCGATCGTCCCTGGTTTTTGCCGTTTTCTTAACCCCGGACATATGGGGCTTGCTGTCGATCTCCCGGTTTGATGGATAAGAGCAACACCGGTTTTAAGCCTCACGTTTCGAACTGTTAGAAGGTCATCCCTGCTTTGGAAATGTTTCGCTTCTATGCACCGATAAAGCTCCTCGGTCCTTGATGCTTCATTTGCCCAAAAAGGGAAGTGTTCATCTGGTTTGGAGAGCCAGAGAGCCCGATAAGAACACCACATAACTGGGTAGTTGACAGCTCTGTCACGGTTTGGCTATGTTCTGCATATTTCCATTATTTCACTCCTTCTTGGTCTATCCATGGTCGGTAGTGTTTGAGACCTTCACGAGCTACTACCCGGGCATCTGCCACCAGTCATGAACAGCCCGCCTCAAATGGCACATGTTTTATGTAGACAGAGAGATCTCACAACTACGAGGCCACTCACGAGAAGCTTGTCGATCGGATCCCATACACAGACAGGCGCCTTGACTTATTGCCATAGTTATACACGAAGCTGCTAGTGCCACTGCTCACTCAAAGTCTTGGTGCCTGAAGAGCCTCGAGTTGCTCTTTACTTGTCATAGCCCATACTCGATCTTTACAATTCCCAAAACACAATAACATCCTCCCAACTCGACCCTGCCTTGTAGAAGTCGTGACCCCACAACCGGTCATGCCCCACAACCGGTCGCGTCCCACATCGTGATTTTATACAACCTTCTTTCTTTCATCAACCATAACTCTACCAAAACACCACCGTTTTGACTCGTTTCTAGCCATGACAACTCAAAAAAAACAAACTTATTAATTAAGCAATCGAAACCATTTATAACGGCCTATCCTAGCGTGCTGCATTACAACAATATAGTATCGCGCAGTCTACCCTATCGGATCGTATTTACAGTACCTAAACTAAGCGTAATTCGAAAATATCGAACTAGAGATTATCGCCAGTACAAGAGAACTTTATTTATAAATGGATATTAAATGAGAAGAAGGCTAGCCGTACTCTAAACTATTGTTAAGTATCTGGATTCACAACGTCGATACTAAAAAGAGGAAGTAATTATAATAAGCTGAGCGCCCGTTAGGTAGATCGATTTATAAAGAGAAATCCTTCTATTAGGACTAAGATTTCTAATCCGCTTGAATTAATTAGAACCAGAGGGTCTATTAAAGAAGTATTCACAGCCTTCTTCGATTTGCTAGAAGCTTAGATTCGCGATAAAGCTATTATCTTAGCCAATATTACTAATATAGATAAATATAGACTTTAAAAGTTAGAATCTAGGGATAGTAAGATCCTTAGGAATTCCTTAATAAAGAAGGTATACGTAATTGTTTGCTGCGGTGCCCTGACTGGCCTATAATGATAGCACCAGTACAAGGTTGCTACAGTGAACTATGCACTTGTAGCAGAGCGGAGCGGAAGCGGTAGGAAGTACGACAGCAATGCTGAAGGAAGCAGCGTAGTTGCAAGTACAATAAAAGGATGTTGTAAAAGAGGTCTTAGAGAGGACTCTGCTCTCAAGACAGAAGATTACAGTGGACTCTGCACTGTGAGAAAAGACTATATTGTATTGCTTGACTTGTGCTTGCTTGCTTAAGGAGTGACGAACTGAAGGAGAGGAGAGGTCTCTATATACATGGACACTAAGCATCTAGAAGCTTCTGTTGAATCCTGTGATGACAAATCAGTCTGGAAGAAATGCTAGCTAAGTTATAAGACTCTAGAATACAGTGGCAAAACCTCTTGTATTCTAGTACATTCTGTGGGGACTGAGTCAACTGATTCCGTAGAAGGAATAGTTCAACTAGCCTTCTATACTACAAGGTAGTACAAGACAGTTACAAGGCACAGTACTAGCCACACGTTAACACCCCCTCTGTGGCTGTACTTAGTGCCACAAGAGCCCCCTCTATACCCCTATGTTGTAGAGCTTAGAGTAGTTCAGCAGTTGTAAGAACCGCTCGAACTTGGGAGCTGGCAGAGCTTTTGTGAGGCCGTCAGCAGCCATATCCTCTGTTGGAACAAAGGATACGGTGATGTTTCCCTCTGTAACGCTCTCTCTCACGCCTTGGAATTTGAGGAGCGTATGTTTAGTACGGCTGTGGTGCTTGGAGTTATGAGCCGTGTCTATAGCCCCTTGGTTGTCTGACTTCAGAGGAGTAGGGTTTTGAAGAGGACGCTGAATTTCGCTGAATAAACCTCTGAGCCACAATGCCTCACGGTTGCCTTCGATGAGTGCCGTGTATTCGGCTTCAAGAGTGCTGTAGGCTACTGTAGAGGCTCTCTTGGATTTCCAGCTTACTGGGCCTCCACTAATCAAGAACACGTAGCCGTAAGTAGATCGAGCAGTAGTTTTACAGCCAGCAAAATCACTGTCAGTGTAGCCTATAGGTGTTATATCTCCTATAGCGCCGTACTGTATAGCATTGTCGATAGTGCTATAGAGGTAGCTCAACAGCTTTTTTGCTGCCTTCAGATGAGCAACTGTAGGCTGTTGTAAGTGCCGAGAGAGCCACTGAACTGCGTGTGCTATATCAACTCGAGTCTGAGTCATAGCGTAAGTAGTAGTGCCTATAAGGCGCTGGTAGAGCTTCTGATCGGCTTTGTTCAGTGGTGGAGAGGGTGATTCAGGACCTGTGAGTCCTGAAGAGAGTGGTATCTTCGGACCGTGAGTGCTAAGCTTGAAGTGTTTGATAGCCTCTTTGATATAAGCTCCTTGGTGAATCCACAATAGTCGTTTGGCTCTGTTGCGTTCGATCTGGACACCTAAGAAGAACTTAGCAGCACCTAAGTCTTCTATGTCATAGGCTTTAGCTAGACTTTGCTTTAGAGCTTGGATCTTCTGTTTAGAAGGTCCAATCAGGAGGCAGTCATCCACGTGGCTAACGATGAAGATACCGTCTTGCTCGTTGAAGTAAGTGGCTGAGTCAGAAGTTAAAGGCTTGTAGCCGAGGCCTTTAACTAATGTAGCTACCTTCTGCTGCCACAGATAGGGAGCTTGTTTTAAGCCGTATAGAGACTTCTTTAGTAGTATAACTTGGTCCTTAGTAGGATCCCAACCGTGTTGTTTCAGCAATGCTCTTGCACTCTTGCTGCTGAGGCTGTATTCATACAAGCCTTCTGGGACTTCCATATATATATCAAAGTCCACACCAGCATTTAGAAAAGCTCCCACGAAGTCGATTTGCTCTATTTCTAAGTCTTCCACAGCTGCTATAGCTAACAGAACTCTCCAGGTAGGAGGAGTAGCTGTGGTAGCAAAAGTCTCTGTAAAGTCAACTCCAGGGACTTGTTGGAAGCCTCTGACTACCAGCCGAGCCTTGTATTTAACAACTTGACTCTGTGAGTTCTTTTTAGCTTTAAAGACCCATCGGCTTGTTATAGGGTTCTTTAATGCCTTAGAACGGTCAACGAAGTAGAAGGTCTTAGTAGTCAATAGCTGTTGTAGCTCATTGAAGGAGGCTTCCAGCCAACAGTTTTTCTGTGGGTGCTTTAGAGCCTGTTTGAAAGTGTTAGGCTCCGTGGTGCTGGTGGTGGCAGCGTTGTAATTTACTGCAGTAGTAGCTGCCTTAGTAACTAAGTACGTTACTAATTCAGTAGTGTCCATGGCGTTATCGTCGTCATCCACTACTTGGAATTCTTCCTTCTGCTGCTTAGAAGCTTGTGGCAGATGGACTTCGATATTTGTAGACTTGGGAGGCTCTACAAGAGGTGTTGTGAGCCTGGGAGGCTCTGCAGTTATGAGAGGTTGTTCTGCAGAATGTTCTTGTTCTTCCTCCTCCTGAACTTCAGGAAGCTGTAGGGAGTTTGTAGGGCTTCTGGGGCCCTGGAGATGAAGCTTGTAGTCTTCATAGAATTTGACAAAAGGCGTCTGAACTACTTGCCGTTGGCCTAGCCAAACCAAGT